CTGAAGAGCCAGTCACACAGGATGGCCAGAGAAGGAGGGTCGACCAGCATCTAGCTCTGGTAGTTTAGCCGACTTCACAAACATTCAGCACAGCCGCACTGGAACTGAGTGTGAGAGTAACTAATGGAAATGAGACGCCCCACCCTGCTTCCAGTCACAGTTAGATTTGTCATTAGGTAATTCTGAAAAACTTAGTGAAGGTGTACGTGTCATGTAGTTCTCCTGTGTCACTCTGTGTGCAGCGATACAGCTACAAAACGCTGTGCAGTGATTCGAGTTGACTCGGAACTCCTCGACTTCCAGGAGGCTGCCCTGCTGCCATCACCACTCTGCTGACAGACAGTGATAGCTGATGACATTTCTTTCTAAGCCCTTGTTTTCCTTTCCTCTCAGGCTGCCGTATACGTTTGTAACGAAGGAGGTGATTGAAGCGACGTGCGAGTGTCTGGTGGAACAGGTTAGAAAGGCCGAACAGACTCATCAGTCTCAGGCTGAAGCAGAGAGGATGATCCTGGAGGAGTTTGGAAACTGCCTCATGAGGATTATCAGCTCTGCGGCAAAGGCCAAAGCAGACTCTGCCTCCATCGGCAGCTAGGCCAAGCACTCTGACTTTCTCCACCATCTGACCAGTCCCAGCACAGGGGGAGAAGCGTGGACCGCTCTGCACTCTGTCTCGGACCCCTGGGGTTTCTCTCCTGCGGGGAAACAGGTTGTCACCCTCCTCAAAGACCAGAGGAATGTCCTGACAGTAGACAGATTCTCCTGCCTGGGCCAAGCTGAGTCCAGCTGGAATAATAGATGCGAATAGCTCTTTGTGCTGTTCAGCAAATGGACACAGCTGCCTTCAAAACTGACAACTTCAAAACTGAACTATCACACGTTCACAGAAATGACTGAGAACCGGATATTAAATGTTCCATCACTTCGTTTTGCCTGCAGAGTTCTATGGTTTCTCCAAACATTTGTTCTTCCATTTTCTCCACTTTTCCTTTCGTTGTTTCCCATTTTGAGGTTTTTGACAAAAACAGGCCTTTACTTTGTATCTAATCAGTATATTTGTGCTTACTGTAGACAAACAGAATATGTATCTTTTGATATTTATTTTGACAAGTATTTGTAATCATTGTCGGCGCTAATATTGTGTGGCTTATTGCTGCAAGCTATTAACTATGGCTAGGCTAAATTGTTTTACAGAAAACGAGTAGAGGCAATCGTAGGTTTTATCCTGGATGCAGTTGTATGATAAATGCACACACTCAATGCATTACAAATAGACACACACACACACCCGCACTGCTCAGAATAGCTGGAACAGTTGAGGAAAGTGCACATTTCTTCTGGTGCTGTTTCCTGATATTAGTCATATCCTTACAGTATATTAAAATCACTAATTAAAAGAGTAACTGATACTTTTTAAGTGGTTTCCTGTCACTTGTTCCTGTCACTAGATTTCCATATATTATTATTTGTGAATAATTTAATTAATCCAGCTATATAGCACTTGGAAAAGCCAAGGTGATTTTGGGTATTAATACAGTGCCCATACAGGCGATCCACCTGACAACAGTGGTCTTCTGGTTATTTCTTAGTCGGTGGTCCCCGTGTCATAATTAGTTGAAAACCTCTTGTAGGTGTAAAATTTGTGGGGTTACACTTGGGTATATTCTGATTCTGATTTTGAGAGGAAGACATAGTGTAACGGGGGTCATCCCGTGCAGTAGGTGGCGGTAACGCACACCTATCTAAACCATAGCAGGGACATAATGAAGGTAGGTAGCGGGTGGTGATGTAGTTCTCAATTAGCAGGCTTTGGGGTTCTTGAAAAAGGTGCCCATTTTTATTTTATAAAAAGTTATACTCCTGCAAGTGTTTTTTGTTTCTTGTTTTTTTGCATAGTTCGGTGAATCCCAGTGACGTGATTGGTTAGATCGTTCTTTTATTTTGAACCTGGTTTTCAAATGAAGTTTCGTTTTGCAACGTTTGGCAACTTTGTATCGCCGCACAAGGGTCTTCGTTCGTTAGCCAGTTAAGTATGTTGCTAGTAAAATGTGTCAGTAATCTTGTTTTTCGTGTTAATATGTTATAGACGGCGTAATTAGCCCCCTTTACGGGGTAAACCCACCGCCGTCTGAGCACGTGGTTTGGAAAAGTCAGCGCGATATCGGCCACGCCAAACTCCTTTTAAAATACGTCTTTTTCGTGAAAGCTCAGTTTTTGCTCAAGATTCAGAACAAACAGAGCACGACCAAAGACATTTTCCTAAGTAAAAGCAACAACTTTTTAAATCGGCATGTAATTTAGAATTATAACACTTCATTTTTCGACAGTATTTTGTTGTGCATATGTATCTTAACGTTTGTGTAGCCTAATTTCACTTAAGCAGGTTATGTCACCGTTTTTTGGGTAATTCGCTAAAGTTAACACCTGAACACTAAATATATTTTGCTTTGACAGATAAACTGAGGAAGACGGCAGCAGTGACAAACTTTGTGGACCTGCTATGCATGTAAGTTAAACTATATACTGTATGTACAGTTCTGTAATTTGTGAAGTGAATAGCCATCCCAATGATTATATCAATCACTACCCATCTGACCCATTCCTGTGTTTGGGGAAGATTATTCATGAGTTTCTCAATGAGGGTGTTGGCATTCGTGTTTCACTAAAGCCTTTGCTTCTGTCAGGTGTAGAACAGATAGAGGAATGTTATGTTTTTCAGTTTGCATTAATGTCTGATTTTCATTTTCAGGGTCGACCTGCGGATATCGGGTGATGTCCTCACACAATTAAATCTACAGTATTTGTACATAACTGGTTAAATTTGTTTTTGTTTCTTTACCTTAAGTTGTTAATTGCCAAATAAATGCAAACTGAACCAAAGTCGGGAGTTTTAATTTTTCTTTGTTTGGTGGAGAATCTGGATCACCAGACCTCACCTGCTTATTATGTGTATTGACTTTATTACAAAGTTCTGAGGAATCTCATTGTTGCATTTAAATCTGTTTTCATTCTTTTAATATTAGAACTGAGTGACGGTGATAGGAAGTAAGCAGCTACTCAGCTTTTACTTTTACTACTCGGGTTAATACAAAATACTACAGACAAATACAAAATGCTACAATCGGCTAATAAATTGTGCTGCAGTATTGTAGATTCGGCTACCCAGCAGTATAAGAAGTAGTTGAAATTATCCCATCTTGTAGTTGTCATGGATTAAAACTATAAAGTAGATCAAAATAGAAATACTCAAAGTACAAGTAGATCGAAATTGTACTTAAGTAAATGTAGGCTACTAACTTACTTTCTACCAGTGGTAATTCTGACATGAGGAATCCGATATTTGTCCAAATAAGGATGTTTGATTTTCTGTAGTCTGCTAAAACTTTTGTACTTTTAAATATTATTAGTATTTTTAGGAAAATGTACTTATTATACCACTGATTATTTAATAAAATTACATTTATGTATGAAATCAATGAATTAAACAGTAATTCATGTATTGTTTATTCCAGCTTCTGTCAGTTTAAGGATTTATTTTGAAAATGTTTATTCATCTATGCTGTAGTCATTGCAAAAATACAAAATCTTAAAAATTACAACTCGGATATGGCAATGAAAATGATTAAAAATCAATACATTTTGATAAATGATCATTTATCAATTGAAAATAATAGCTTTGTCATTGCCAAACACGTCACAAAGCGCTTATAGCCTAATTTTATCCAAAATAGTGATGTTTTGGATACCTTTCTTCTAAGATGCACGTTTTTAAATACTGGAAGAATTTTAAAGGGCTACCCAAAATTAGTATGCCGTTTTGGAGCTAGTGAACACTAGCATTGTTAGCATGATGCTAAAAGAAAGGAGGGTTGTGGTTGAGGACGCTCCCCGGAAGTTGTTCTTCTTCGTGGTAGGAGGAGACTGTTGCTTACTGCCACGTTGATGGAGACCAGTGGGGACGTGGATATCTGTGTCGAGCCGGGACCCGGTACCCCCAGCTTCTTGTGTTTTACAGCTGTTAATTCTGAGCACAACCGAAAGGGGAACCTGTACTTGGTAGAAGGTGTTCGTGTTTTACCTTTTATGTGTGCATTCATGTAAGAAGGAGCAAAGGAGGAAAGGTAAGCCGCTTTAGTGGAGTAATAAGATATGCGCGTGCGTGCAATTACTTCATACTGTTATATTTTGCCTGCAACTAGCATGGTAAAAAAAACGGTATAACCCTTGGTAGTTGTACTAGGACGTAACGTTACAGTTCCATATCTTTAAAAACCTGAACGAAGCTGACAAATCATTTCTGCGTATTTTTCCTACTACTGAGGCTTTTATTGTCATTGCTGTGTGGTTCTCAATCAACTGTTAGCTTGCTGCTAGCTTCTACTGTACTTTGTTTGCTAATTTTAACAGATGAATGGAAAAATATATATATGTACAACTTCCTGAGATCTACATCTATTCAAAGTATTGTCAGGTCTTGAAAAGCATGAATTAACTCGGGTTCTCTCATAAAGCAGTAGAAGATACTAAAAATTCTGTAAAGTCTATGATTTTAGATAAAAGAATGGTTGGGAAATTCCCAGCACTGTTGTTGCATACCTCTGACCTTAAATTGATTAGATTTTTTTTTATTCATCCATTCATTTTCTGCTGCTTCTGTTGGTCCAGGTCATGTTTAATGATTAATCTGTTATTTGTAATATTAACCAAAGGATAATGAGTACATTTGCCTTTATCTGACCTAGCATGTTACACGCAAGGAATTTGTTTCTGGTACAGAACAGAACTAATGACAAAAGTGTCAAAATAAACATGTATAGACATTTAGTCTACACAGCATTTGTTAAATAATTCTAGGTCTCATTGTTCCTGCCGTTCTTTTTTATTGATATCTTTAGTACTTTGGGTGGTATTATGACTGGTAGCAGTTTACTGTATGTGGTATTAGAAATGTTTTAATTTAGTGAACCTTTCAGAACCGCTGAATGTCATTGCTCCAACACAGCTCTACAGTGATCACTACTAGTGGCAGATAAGGGTTCTTGTAGTTGTTGCTACTGTTCATACTGGTTGTTCACAGCCAGTATTAATAGCAGGAACACTTACAGAAATGGAAATGTCTGTGTTGTTCTAAGGCAAATGGCATTATAGGCTTTTTACTCCTGCTGTAGGAATTAAAATAGATCAAACCTCGCATGTTTTATCTGTGGCTATTTCTCTGAAAGCCATGCAAAATAAATACATAATTTACTGTAACTACTTTAGTAATTACTGCATGATTTTTCAAAATCTCCACTTGTTTTTCCAGGATGAAACTCAAAGAAATCAGCCGCACAGCCATCCAGAGCTGGAGTCCTGCACAGCACCACCCCATCTACTTGGCAACAGGTATGAACATGCAGCCGGCAGCAACACAGGCCAGCTATTGGTGCTGCTGCTGCTCTGTGGTATTTTAGCAGGACTTTGTATCATTTCTGTTAAGTCTTCATTCATTCATGCAATCACTTAAACACGTAGTATTCGCAGGGCGTGCCTCGCAGCTGTTTGCCTTTTGAAACCACTTGCAAATGACAGTAACAGAGACCATTATATCACATTTTTTGATGTTAAAAGAAGGGCATTTAATCTAACACAGCAACAAATTGTCAAGGAAACAGAGTTTAAGGGCTGTAGCTAATGATTAATTTCGATCCACTTGAACCAAAGTAGATGAACATAGTAGTATGTTCTACATATCTATCAGTAAATTACTGACTGTAGATACTGCACACTCTGCACTGCTGTTATTGCACTTCTGGTTAGATGTTAAGCTGAATTTCGTTGCCTTGTACTTGTGCATGTGTAATGACAATAAAGTGAATCTAATCTATGATCTAATCTATGATCAGCAGTGAATTTCATTAACAATTAATCTCCTCATTATGTAACAGTTTTGATTTTTTTTTTTGGTTTATAAAATATAATAATACTGTGAAAAATGTCCATCATTTTCTAATGTTTTGCTGTATCTGATATTTGTGAACCTGTAATTGTCCAATATTTGGCACTTTTGCTTGACAAATTCCTTATTAGGAAAAATTGTTGGCAGCTAAGTGAAAATCAATTGTTTGGCTCACCGTTGCAGCTTGACACAAAAGGCTCCTGTGCTTCCTTTGTGCAGGAACATCAGCCCAGCAGCTGGATGCCTCTTTCAGCACCAATGCCTCCTTGGAGTTTTTTGAGCTGGACTTGGCTGAACCATCCCTGGACATGAAATCATGTGGCAGCTTCTCCTCCACACACAGGTAGAAAGAGCTCCTCACACACTTATGCTGTTGACTTTTTCATGTTGCTGTGTGTGACACAGATGTGTTGCTCCCTACAGATACCACAAACTGGTGTGGGGTCCCTATGGGATGGATGCCCAAGGGCATCCCTCTGGGGTCCTCATTGCAGGAGGCGAGGACGGTAATGTCATCTTGTACGACCCTGCGAAGATCATCACTGGAGAGAGCGATGTGGTCATCGCTGAGAGTGACAAGCACACAGGGCCAGTGAGAGCTCTTGATGTCAACCCGTTTCAAGTGCGGTCTAACTCCAGTGTGTGACATTTTGCGAATGCGCTCTGTTTAAATCTGTGACCGCAGTGACTTATTTTGTATTGTCATCCCTTGTTTTTTTGCTGCAGACAAACCTGGTTGCATCAGGTGGGAATGAGTCAGAGATCTATATCTGGGACATGAATAACTTTGGCTCTCCAATGACACCAGGACCTAAAACTCAGGTTCTTTAAGTGCATTTTACCTTTATTTCTGCTATAATGTGTAAATCTAACTGACTCAGTTAAATTTACTTCATGTGTCTTTCAATAAGTTCAGTTATTCAGGGATTTCCACTGTCAAAATGTGAAGTTCTTGTCTTTTGTGTGTTATTAGGCTTTGTTTCTTCAGATGCCACATTAAGTGATAATGTTCTCATTAAAATTGAGAACAATGCCTAGTCAAACATGTACATTCATGCCTGTTTTTGTGTCATCAGATGATGTTGTGGACGTAATCTGTATCATTTCATGCACATATATAACAGTTTTTAGTAGTAAATAGGACAGCGGTAAATGGCTGATCCATTTAAAAGTTGCTGTTTGTCTCTGAAAGCCTCTGGAGGACATCAGCTGTGTGTCGTGGAACAAACAAGTTCAGCACATCCTGGCATCTGCCAACCCAAGTGGCCGAGCCTCGGTGTGGGACCTCCGCAAGAATGACCTCATTATTAAAGTTAGCGACCACAGCAACAGAGTACGTTGTTCCTTCTGCACCCAGATGGAGTCTTTCACATGCTGTGTTGGACACAAATATTTTTGCATCTCATAATCCTTCTGCACTGTATGCTCATCTTAAACAGTCTAATGCAACATGTACATGCATGTTTTAGATGCATTGCTCTGGGCTGGCTTGGAACCCAGAAGTGGCCACCCAGCTGGTCTTGTCCTCGGAGGACGACCGGATGCCGGTCATCCAGATGTGGGACCTACGTTTTGCTACCTCTCCTCTCAAGATTTTAGAGAACCACACACGGTAAAAAGATCTATCAGATCTGGCACCAAAGCAGCGTAACATTCTTGTGTTTTCCTTTGCAGTCTGAAATGTTATGGCTGCTGATGTTTTTCTTTATTGTCAGCAAATCCATAAAAAGGTCAAAATCGTCACTGAATGTGTCCTACTAACAAGTATCAGCTGTGTATCTTATTCCTCTGTGCCACTGAGCTCCATTGTTTTCCAGAAACGGTTTAATCAACCACACTGTTGCACTGGGTGACATGGTCCTTCATCACCATGAACACATACACTGTAATTTGTGTTGACTCAGTCCCACACACACGTGCTGCTGCTGGAAAACTGAGTAGAGACCAAATGTGGGTTAATCTGAAACTAGGTCCCAAATAATAACCATTTGCTTCTGTTTTTAAAAATGTAACTCTACATTCAAGACATTTTTGTAAATAGATTTCTCAAAGACTACAGAGGTCTTAACCCTGATATACAATTTTTAATTTTGTTTTTTCATGATCTTTTTTTGTCAGTAAGTAACAATATTACCTTATCCTTTGAAATCATGGGGTTTAAGACAGCTCTCCTTTTCTTCACATGCAGGGGCATCTTGTCGATCGCCTGGAGCTTGGCTGATCCTGAGCTGCTCCTGAGCTGCGGGAAGGACAGCAGGATTCTGTGCTGGAATCCAAACACAGCAGAGGTAAAAGTCATTCACATAGAGTTTATTTACACAACCTACGTGGCTACGCTGGTCATGAAGAAATACATCTCTGACTGTTGTCCTGTGATGGAAGTAAATCATCAGCTTGAACCTTCAGGTGCTGTACGAGTTGCCCACCAGCAGTCAGTGGTGCTTTGACGTCCAGTGGTGTCCCAGAAACCCCGCCGTGCTGTCGGTTGCAGGCTTTGACGGACACATCGACATCTTCTCCATCATGGGAGGCAGTAGCCAGACGCAGAGCCAGAGACAAGCTGACCAGGTGAGCTTTAACAGCATAGTGTAACATGTGATTGACAACATGATGCTAATTTACATTTCTGGCATTTTAAGCCTCCTGTTTTGTGTCTGACTTGGCTCTGGGTGTCTGCTGCAGATCAGCAACTCGTTTGGGAACATGGATCCTTTTGGGACAGGACAAATGTTGCCCCCTCTGCAGCTGCCCCAGGCTAATGCCCCTCCAGTTACAGTAAACCTCCTGAGGAAGCCACCCAAGTGGATCCGCAGGCCTGTAGGAGCCTCGTTTGCTGTGAGTCCTGTTTCTTTTCCTTTGACGACATTAAGACTTCTTTGTTTTCCCATCTGAAACACGTATGTTCTTTTGCGTTTTGCTCACACCTAGTTTGGTGGGAAGCTGGTGTCTTTGGAGAACCCAAAGCTGAACCCTCAGCAGCCAACTTCACATGTTGTACACATCAGCCAGGTTGTTACAGAAACAGCCTTTTTGAAGCGCTCCGATCAGCTGCAGGCCACTCTGAGCTCAGGCAGCTTCGTGGACTTCTGCCAGGAAAAAATCAATGCAGCTGAAAATGAGTTTGAAAAGACTGTTTGGTCTTTCCTCAAGGTATGAAATCCACTGTTTGTAGTAATATCTGAGGAAAAACCTGGAAATTTATGGTTGTCAGTAAGTTTCGGTGTCATTCTCTATGTTGTTTAACTGTTTTCAGGTTAATTTCGAAAGCGATATCCGCAGCAAGTACCTGGAACTCCTTGGGTACAACAAAGAGGAGTTGGCTTTAAAGGTGAGATGTATTTTCCAATCAGATGTATTCCCCATATGATGCTGTTTGTATTTTTGCCCAAATATTTTTTGCATAATACTTTTGTCAAGTGCCTGTCAGTACATCTTGTGTCCCTTTTCTTGTCAGATTTCAGCAGCACTAGAGGAAAAGCCTGCTGATCTGCTGAAGGTGAGTTTGTTGAGAACAGGAACTTATGGAGCATCTCAAAGGAAGAGTTCACTGATATTTTGGGAAATGCATCTATTCACACTCTTGCTGAGTGTTAGATGAATATGACAGAGTCAGGAAGCTTAGCTTAGCTTAATTGGTTGTAAAGTAGAAGCAGAACCTCAACTTGTTGTGTTTACAGTTGACACAACCAGACTAGCAGTTTTCCCTGCAGTCTTTACGCTAAGCTAAGTTAAGCTAAGCTAACTGGCTGCCATGTATAGCTTCATATTTAACAGAGTCAGTGGTTTTTGTTTTCCCACCTTTAGCGGTTTAATTCACATAACTGAACAGATTACCTCATGGTGAAAGTATTATATTATGTCAGTTTTTAAACTGCTACTTATCTTGCGTGATGTCACACCACCTCTGTTTATTACACCATACGGTGGTTAGGCCATTAATGTGATATGCACTCATAGTATTATGGGGTTATTTGGCCTTAGCAGTGAAAACGAAATTAGTCTAAAAACTAAATCAGCTGATTTTATATGTACAGCAGGGTGAAGTGTTCCTGCCAGTATTACAGAGTTGCTTCTAAATTGCCGATTACTGCACTACATTACTCTGCATTGGTTCCTGCTTACTGTGCCATCCATACCGCTTCACTGACAGTACAACAGAACCGATCGACCACTATGGCTGTAATTAGGGGCTGTTGTCTGTGTCTTAACATTTTGCAAGGAAGTGTTGCAAGTATTCACAAAGACAACTCCTTGACTGAGTGCTGCAAACACAACTTCTCTTTTTTGAAGCTTCTCAAAGGAAACAAAACGATTTTCATGTGCTTTTACTTCCACAATTACAGTCTCTCACTTACGGCTATTTTCTCTGTGGTCTTTGTGAATATCTCCCACTGTGAGATGTAAATGTATTGTCTGTTCATACACCCTGAACTGAAGTCCAAACTTAGTGCTGATATTGAATTTTCTAGACAGTTTTCTAAACTTGCTTTTTTTAGAGCCACAGCTTGAAAATGGCCTTCAGCCCAAGCTCTCTCTCATTCTGTCTGTCTTGTCCATCTTTTAATTAGACCACAGTGCTAGTCCTGAACTGTCATTCCTCACAAAATGAAACCAAGTCTGACCTTAGCCAGATGATACCTTGCTGAGTTTTCTAACCTGTTGCTGCACAAATGAATCTTACTTTGGTTTCTTCATCACATAACAAACACATCCATCCAAAAATTATTTAACTTTAGACAAGACCACAAAATATGGGTGCGGTTGCCACTTTGCTGTCAAAATGTTTTCCACTCGAGCTGGTCGGGCTCCACTTTGCTGATATCTTCAGTTAATACTCTATATTTAAACTCCCTCCAGGTATTTAAGTGAATCATCAGCCGTGCCTCCCTACACACCTCTCCCCAAATATCTACTGATATATCTTTGTTTACTTCAGCCTCCTTTATTTTATGCTTGAAAATTCTCATATTATCACTGACCCTGAATCCATATCTTCCTCAGGTGGATGTACCTGCTCCATCCAGCCTGCGACCTTTATCAGATCTCAGCCTTGTACCACCTGCTGACACTGGCGAGGCAGCTTTCGACATCATTGCTGCAGCAAACCTTCAGCCAGCAGCGACACTTGAACTGGACCCCACTCCTGACCCAGAGACTGAAGAGCCAGCTGTAGTAAATTCAGAGGATGCTCATAGCAGTGAACCAGAAGAAAATGTGGACCGGGTTTCCCCAAAGGAGGCAGATGAGGAAGAGGAGATCCCTTTGGAGGAGGTACACCTTTATTACTGCACATTTTTATAATCCACAATACACTCGTGGATGAGGGGTGAGGATGGATTGCTATGAAATTTGGTCCAGAAATCCAGGGTGCCTAGAGGATGAATCCCGGTGACACTGGTGGCACCTTGGCTGTTCCTCTACCACCACCAGTGGGTTCGCATTTGTGGTGCTGGGTAAAATGGTTGACAGACAAACATGCTGCACCCTGGACGTCTCATCTAGTGCCATCATCAGGACAGAGCTTCAGTTTGTCCAGTACTTAGTTTTGTAGCTATTTGTTCATAAAACTAATGACTAATTTCTCTTAACGTCATCTGAACTCCATGTAGCTAATGAGCAATGCTAGCATGCTAACACACTAAACTAAGATTGTGGATATTAGATATTAGCATGCTGATGTTAGAATTCATTTCAAAGTGCTAAAGTACAGTCTCACACAGCTGCTCGCAGTACTGTAGACCTTTATTGTTTTTTAATAATAGTCAGTATCCTGCAACACATTGTGAAAGGAGAAGAGAAAAGATCAAACATCATGAGATGCTTCTCTGGTGTTTCAGGAGATGACAGCACCAGCAGAGGTGGAGTCCACCAGGGTCCCAGCTCTAGCTCCAGTCAGTCTCAGCATCAGTCAAGGTAACATCTCCTCCAGCGTTATACAAGATTTAGGTTACGTTTAGCTGAAGTGACTCAGACCTGATGTTTCCACAGCAGTGTGAACAAACCAAATCAGATGTTTTCAGATCAGTTGCGCATGTGCTCCTAGACCCGATTTCTCTCCGACCTCTGACTGTGCAAGCGCTATCAGAACGGTCAGATCAGAATCTATGTGGTCGTTTTAACGTCTCCTCCTCTGCACATACGGCCTGTCGTCATCATTCAGTGTCGGCCCCTCACAGACCGGTAACAATAAACATGGAGGAGAGTGATGACAGTGACGGCGTCAGTGGAGAGACCAGGATGTTTCACATGTGGTGGACGTTTATGGAGAAGCTTCTGATCAGGCCAAACTGGAAGGAACATATCGTAACCCAGCGGTTTGGGAGGAAACTGGGGCATTTGACCGTTCGCACACACCACCTGGTTGTTATTTCTGTGCACACATGGCTCACGTTTCAGTTACATCTGTGCATGTGTGGCAGTTTAGAAGCTCAGCGGTGTTCACACCAGGTACATGGTACTGATACGCATGGACGGGAAGCAGCAACACAAAAAAGATCTGAGCATTAAGACCTGTGATGTGAATGTAGCCTACGTTAGCCCTAGTTTGTTGTGGACATTAAAATAGTGATACGTATTAAGCTAACGAGGTTGGTATGTTCTGTTCAAAATCTCTGGCTGTTTGAGTATTGTAAAATATTTTCACTTTTTGGTTTCCTGCAAGATGTGGACGGGCTCATCACACAGGCGCTTCTGACTGGAGACTTTGACGGAGCTGTGGACCTCTGTCTCTATGACAACCGCATGGCAGACAGCATCATTCTGGCCATCGCTGGAGGGGCCGAACTCTTAGAGAAAACCCAGAAGAAGTATTTTACGAAAACGCACAGCAAGATAAGCAAGGTAGGAAGCAACCAGGAGAGTTGTTACTGAGATTTTATGAAGTGAGTTTTATTGATCAGTGAACTGCACGTTTGTCCTGTAGCTGATCAGTGCAGTGGTGATGAAGGACTGGCATGACATCCTGAAGACATGTGACCTGCAGAACTGGAAGGAAGCTCTGGCTGCAGTCATGACCTACGCTCAGCCTGAGGAGTTCTTTTCCCTCTGTGGTTAGTTTGACATGTGGGGGTCATGTTTAGCTGTTTCCTGCTCAGGGGTTCACCGGTGCATTCTGTGTTGTTTGTCAGCATTGAATTTATTCTCTCTAATGGAACATCTGTTTGTTAGACCTTCTCGGGGGCAGACTGGAAGTAGCAGAAGATGCTCAACTGCAGGCACAGGCCTGTCTGTGTTACATCTGTGCCGGCAATGTGGAGAAACTAGTGTCTTGTTGGACCAAAGTGCAGGATGGATACTGTCCTCTGTCTCTCCAGGTGTGTCACACCTGGCCAGTTGGGGGCAGTAGAAACAAGTTGGGAACACAATATTGACATATCATTACCTTTTCAGTTGATAGTGCACACTTGTTAGCAAATAGTTCCTTATTTACACATCCAGATTTTATCATGTGGCGTTGTGTTTGTGTCCATCTTATAGATGTTAGTTTAGTATTTCCTTTCTCTTAGCTCTGTTTTTGGTCTCCACCACTTCCTGGGAGTAACAGGAGGTTGTTTAGCTGCTAAATGCTCCACTCTGTTCATTTGCTAACATTATAACTTTATAAGGTGATAATGTCACATTTTCTGTTATGCACTTGTTCTGTTGCCTCGAAGCAATGAAACAAAACTCTGAATCGAGCCCAGCTCTTTATTATAGACATACTAATGTGCTGTTTCTGCCACTCAGGACCTGGTGGAGAAGGTGGTGGTGCTGCAGCATGCAGCGGAGCAGACCCAGCGCTCTGGTTCCGCTGCTGTTGGCATCTTACTGGCTGAGAAGATGAGCCAGTATGCCAACCTGCTGGCCTCCCAGGGCAGTCTGTCCAGTGCCATCACCTACCTGCCCAACAACACCAACCAGGTCTGTAACACAGCTGCAAGCTGTTGCACCAGCTGTGTGTACCCTCAGACAAAGTCAGCTGCTAGTGTGGAAGCTATAACTTGGTAAAAACAAGCTTAACCATACATGTTAGTTATGGGGTTAACATGTGGAATAGAACCACATTTACACATTATAAGTCATTCCTTATCAACTTTTAACTGGGACAGAACAGTTAGAAAAATGGTAGGTATTACAGTTAAAGGAGCCTTTTTTCTTTACACACTCATTACCGTGCTCGACAGTTCAGCGATCAGGGCACAAGTGTGATTTTAGCAGTGTTAATCTCATCACTGTGACAAAATCTTTTTTGATTTGTTGATAAACAACTAAACCATAACGTGAAAGAAGAATAAACAAAGTAAAGACCATTTTAATATTTATAACTTATTCAGTGATCAGCAGCATGTGTGGTATCACAAACTGTAGCTCCTGATGAGTGAGACCAAATCTCTCTTGTTCTAAAGCTGATTTAGCTGCCTGACCTGTTGCACTGCCGTTAATAAGAAGCAGTAGCAGTAGCGTTCTGTCTGTCATCTGACGTTAGCGCTTCCCGGAAGATACGGGTTTACGAATTAAATTCATCTACAGTCCACTGAGAATTAGACAAGACAATAAAACATCTGAGCAGCAGCAGTCAGCATTTGAGGTCAGATCATTGAACAGGAAGTGCTGTGGAATCAGTTACTTCCTGATGAATGTGAGCAGTCGACCACCTGAATCTGCCTCTAGATGGCGGCTAAACAAGCCGCACCGTGTTAAGGTTCTCCCACAGTTTGGCTTCTCTCAGTCTGAACCTAGTGAACAGGGTTATAGGCCGAATGGGACTCAATCAGCTTCTACAGAGCACAGGGACAAATAAATACCTGTAACCATGGCAACTGTACATGTCAAAAATGGCAACAGCTGGAGCCTCAAAACATTTTGAAGATAACTGCTGGATTAAAAAGGGTGAAAACTAGACTAAAATGTCTTTCATTGACTAAAACTAACAAAATTCTATTAGTACTATTTATGGTTGATACAGCTATGCTCTCAACTTCCAAAGTACAACAGAGGTGACCAGAATGACCATGGATAATAGTGTCTACAGTCATGTCACTCTGTAGTAGTGTGTTGATATCATGACAACTGTTTTGTCTCAGTCTGACCCTCAGCTGGTGCAGCAGGCTGCTAGTTTGCAGTTTACTGAAACAGTTATGAGTCTTATAGATGAACCTTTCTTGTCTCACTGCTCCAGGTTGCCGTACAGCAGCTTCGTGATCGTCTTTGTCAGGCTTTGGGATGCCAGGCGGTGGCTCCTGCAGCTCCGGTACAAACCCAGAGAGCTCAGTCTCAGCTGCCTGCCCGTCAGCACAGCTCAGCCCTTCCCCGGCACCCGTTCCGTCCGGTGCAGCCCGCTGTGGTGCCTCAGCCCTCTGCAGCAGCAGCTCCAGTACTCATGCCAACACCTGCCTCAGCCCCAGCACAACTGCAGTATTACCAGCCAGTACGTTCCTCCGACCTCCTCCTGTAGTTGCACATATCACACTTCATACAAGGATCCAAGTGTGTGTTTGTATGTTTGTTTTTGCTGTTCTTCACTTTCATATGGTTTTACACATGAACCAGAAGCTACACAAATTCCTGGTTCTGTTTTATAGAGTGAAATCAACTGGGTGTGTGTGTGCAAGCCTCATTTCTCTACCACGGTGGAAGTGGGCCTAGATAGGCCCTTAAACATCTGTTTTTGCTGTTAAACATCAGGATTCATACAGATCTAGATGTGCAGTATGTTAAACCTGAGGCCAGACCGGTCTTCCTCCTGTTCTTCATCTCCACACTGACTGACCACCTAATGAAGTGCTCATTGCAGTTTGCTGTTGTGTTGTAGTCAATTCATCGACTGCATTTCCCTTTTGACTCTTCTAAGTATTAATGATAACTATTCTTATTTCACATTCTCTATGTACAACCTTTATTTTTTGGGGTGTTCTTTGAGCCTTGTCTTTTCTCATGTCTGCTGGTTCAGTGCGGGTGCATTGTGGTGTTTCTTGGTCCCCCACCACCCCCACCCATGTTGCCATGTGTCTCTGTGCTTCAGGTGAGGGCTGCCTCCACTGTCACCTCCTGGAGTAACCAAACTCCCACAGCCCTCCCAAATGTCCCTCCTCCTTTTCAAGTAGGCAGCGCCGCAGAGCAGCAGGTACATGTAACGATCTCCCATCGACAGTCGATACACACTGTAGCTGTTTACAAATGCTCTTACACACGCTGCTTAATAGCTACACAATGCTGGACTGCTTTCATTGATCAAACCGATACCTGATATCTACTGTGCCTTGTCCCTGTAGATCCCCACTGACTCCACACTGTTTCCTCTGTCTCCTGTGATGCATTCACTGCCTCCATGCAGCCTCTCATTTGTTTCTTCTGCACTCTGATTAATAAAATGACTTCTTGCATGACTGCATTGATCACATTACCTTATCTAAAATACATCTACCACTCCTGCATGCTGTTGCTGTTTAGCAACTTTCATACTAATGAACTGCAGTAAAATGAATTTTCACCTGACACAGGACGACCCTGCCCTCCTGCAGCACCATGCTGTGTTCTTGCACTCAGACTGTAGAGCACCGGGATGATCACCAGTGGACAGTTAATGTTTTCTTTTTGCGTTTTTGCAGATGGAGCCTTCAAACTCCATGTATGGGATGCCAGCCTCTGGCACAGCTGCTGTATCTCCAGCTTCCTCCACTCCTGCGTACATGTACTCACATCAGTATCAGCGTAAGTGTTTCATAAACTCTACAAGTTACAGCAGCTGAAGGGTTGCACCAGCTCAGTAAATCACTGGTATGGAAAGAAAAGCACTGTCATCAAGCAACCTTCTAAAAATGATGTTTATAACAACTGGTTTGTTAAAACAAGGTCAATTCTAAATTGCACACATCTGCCAACCATTCACTTCCAATCCATCTTTGCTTTGAAACACTGGCAGGCATTTCCTTTGGGAAATGTTGACTGTAATGGCTCATCTTTTCTGCAGTTTTAGTCACTAATAGAAGATGAAAATGTCTGTTGAATGTCTTTCCAGTGTGTTTATCTCTTTGCCTGTAACTTGAATATGAAGCATGCTCTGCATTACATCTGTCTGAATCTGTCCTGTTGCATGAGACTGTCAGTATAACATGCAACTGTTTGTCACTAACAGCATCTGTTTCCTCTGTGTAACTCCCAGCCTACCCACAGGTCAACCAGTACCCACCTGGAGCTGGGAGGGCACCAGTCTATCACCCTCTTCAGTACTCCTCCTCTGCTGCTGTTCCTCCACCTCTCCCTGCAGAGGCCTCCACCCCTCCTCACCCCCCTGGCTTTCTCTCCCAGTACACACAGCCCGTCCCCTCTCAGCCAGCTCCTCCAGTTTATCCCGGCCAGCCTCACATCAGCCACTGCCCACCCTCCTCTCCTCCTTCTCATTATGCTTTCTTTTCCACTGCCTACTCAACTCCCTCCTCTTCCTTTTCTGCTCCTTCGTCCTCGGGAGTGGCTTTCCAGCATGGTGGGCCAGGATCGCCTGTGTCATACATGCCTCCTCCACTGTGCGGAGCTTCAGGTACAGAGCTAGAGCCAGACCTTGAGCTGTTCCCTGCCTGTCAGAGACCAGGTCTGCATGGCTCTGATCGACAGCACTGTCGTTCTCACAAACTCAATCAGTCTCCATGTTTAGGCACAACTGTGCTTCTAATTTCCACAGTTAAACTACCTGCCAATTATTTTTAATGTCAGGTTATTCTCTTTATTACTATAAAACTGCAGCTGTTACATCAGTGCAGCGGTGTTAACATGCAGTCTTCTTTCAGCAGAATTCAATCTTACCAGCAGTACTCTGGAACCTGAAATAGAGCTGTAATTCTTAGCCTGAACCCGACCCGGGCTTAATTTCTATCATTTTTACTCAGGCCGGGCTTGGGCTCGCGCATTAAATGAGTGGTCACGTGATGCGTTTCAATTAGCGTGAGAAAGATGCATTGCGAAGAACGAAGATGGATGAGGTGAAACAAAGGCTTGCCTCTGGCGTTTATTTTTTTGGTTACACCAGCAGCAGCTAAGTCTGAGGTGTGGCAACATTTTGAACATGTGCATAACGAGAACAATGACCCAGTGGGTTATGTAAAATGCAAGAAATGTAACGTTCTCTTAAAATACGACAGCAAAACGACAGGGAATTCCTTGCTGAGAAGGCATGTTGAGCGATGCTGTGCCAGGCCCCAGAATCAACCTACAATCAAATCGTTTCTTACAACATCAAAACCCATCCCTGAAAAGGTGAAGCAAGCGATGACGGAGAAGTGTGTCAGTTTTTGCTGTAAAGACATCAGGCCTTTTTATATCGTAAATGGCGAGGGGTTTGAAGAGCTGGCGCAAGAACTAATTACTGTCGGGGCTGCGTATGGGAGGGTTCCTGTAAACTCTGTTATTGCCAGCCATGTGACAGTTGTGAAGAGGTGCACTGGCATTGCATGTATAAATGACTCTTGGCAAAAGCTGTGTGCATGCGCCGTGCGCACATTTGAATAATGTCGGGCTGTAAACGGGTTCGGGCTGTCAATCAAAAATGTACTTGTCAGGCTCGGGCTGGGCTCGGGCCCTGTCGGGCCCAACTTTTCAGGCCCAATTACAGCTCTAACCTGAAATAATTTTTATATTGCTGCGTTATAATTAGGGCTAACTTTATACTTTATACAGATATTAATCATACTTTTGATTAACATTTTGTCCAGAACTTAAATAGAAGCTCTTTGGTGTTATGTGGAGAACAGCATAGAGAGGAAAAATGTTTCTCTTGTCAACACAAGCAGATAAATATTAGATTTTAATATATAGACTTGCATGAATGTAGAGAGATGATAAACCTACATCAGAGTAATAGGAGAGATCAGGATGATTATTCAAGCTCAGGTTTGTTAGAATCATTTATGATCTGAGGCATTTTTGCACAGCTGTTTTCAAGTTGATATCATGCATCTTTTGATTTGCTGAATCAATAAACTTTATCTGAGAGGATGATGTTTTTCCTGCAGGGCCTCAGAACGGTTGGAATGACCCTCCAGCCCTGAACAGAGCACCAAAGAAGAAGGTACATTTGCTAACCTAAAACGGACAGACTCTTTGGCATGATTTTAGCCCCATACAGCTCATCCCAGCCTGTTTCTATAATTGAGCCAAATTTCTGACAGATCACTTTTCTGTTTCAGCGGGGTTACGTGATTCAGTGATCAAGGATTAAAACGCACAGAATTCAGAGTTGCACAGTGTGTATCCAGCTTTAGGGACACAGAGAAGATGATTATGTACTTCTGCAACTTCTGTTCAGCTCTCTTTGCACAGACATGAAGATGGTGGATGTTTTAAATGAAATATAATTCTCACTATTCATCAGGTTCCAGAGAACTACACCCCTCCTGCCCCCATCACTGCTCCCATCATGACCCCACTGGGTGCTGACCCTCAGGCACAGCTGGCGTCCTCCGGGGCCCCTCAGGCCATGGTCCCAGGCCCACACTGTGCTCAGGTCCCTTACTCAGGCATGCACCAGCAGCAGCTCTCCCCTCCGCCCATGAACCCTGCAGTGCCCCAGACCAGTATGGAAGGCCCACCAGGAGCCCCTACTGGAGATGTCATACAGGTACACAGAGTGTAAAGGTTACAGATGGAAAATGTGAGATGCACAGTTCTCTTTTGACAGAAAAAACAGACTGTTCAAGACACTAATCTGTGGTCAGTTCTCCTGACACTGTTGCTACATGTTTACAAACCAGTCATTTAGAACATGTGGGCGAGCTAGCATAATGCTACTGCTAAAGCCATATTTACCTCAGTCACTTTGCAGATGTGGCCACATCATCTTCTCTCTAGAGAACCTTTAGCATCGGTCAAGCTGATGACATGCCTTTGCTTGCATAGTGGTTTTCCTGTTCTGCAGCCTTATCACTCACCAGGCTTTCACTGTACCAAGATGCACGTTTCCAAATATTCTGAATAGGGGGACATGAACTAATGTGTGACCATTATTTGCTGTATGGCTGTATTTTAGTGTCGTATTATTATTATTGTTGTTGTTTGTTGTGATGGTTAAGTGTGATTCCCTCATCAGATTTCATTAGATTTGGATGAAATATCGTTTCAGCCTCTGCAGTCTATCCCCGCTGAGAAGATCCTGAAGAAGCCGATCCCTGATGAGCACCTGGTCCTCAAGACCACATTTGAGGGGCTCATTCAGAAGTGCTTGGCTGTAGCTACTGACCCTGTGAGTTTATCTACAAGGGAAAACAGTTCTCTCCTGAGCACAGTGAATGAGTAGGTGATCATTATGTGAACACACTCTGCCATACTCTTTCACAGCAAACCAAGAGGAAGCTTGACGACGCCAACAAGCGTCTGGAAGCGCTCTATGACAAACTCAGAGAGCAGACGGTGAGTATGTGGCTGTGCTCTGTTTCCCTCATCTTGACAGAGGTTGGTAATAATAATGGTGATGATAAAAAGTAGTTTGACCCAAGGACACTGAACAACTCAGTTGAACGATGAGTCTCAATTGTAGATTTAAACACACAAGAGAACTTCATTCATGAGCCTCATACAAACAGAAAATGTTATGTACAAGTGAAGAAAGAACTTGCCATGTTCATCACTTTTCTCATATTTAGATTTTACTTTTTTAGGTGCCAGTGAAATCTCAAGTGGTTCAGACCTTGTGTACGAGTCATGTAGAGAGTCTTTGTCTGCAGGATGAATTTAGAGTTTAAAGGTACATTAAGATTTCCCACATTGTCTAATAAACCCAGTGACAGTGGGATGTGGTGTCTCCCAGCTACACCCCCCCTCCATGACCCTCTGCTGCCTACAGCCTCCTGCTGTTATTCCAGCTTCTCCACCCTGTGTTGTCAAAGTACGGTCTGTAAATCAGCCCCGCCTGCCGCCTAGCCAAGGTTAGAAGAAGGGTTTTTCCAACCAGTAGTCATGTCAAACAGCCATGGAGGAGCTCTGGGCAGCTAAAAGTCTGAACCAGCAGCTGCCAGACTGAAGAGGTGGCGTCTTTAGCACAGAGAGAGTGGGACAAAGAAAGAGCAACAACCAGGGTTAACATGGGTTTGGCTGTTTGACATGGAGAGGGTTAAAAGCAGCCAGAGGACTCAGACTGGATTGTGGCCTTCTTCCTTCTAAAATAGAGGTGGTCTGTCCACCTCACAACAATGGTCTTTAGGTTACCTCAGAGCAGAATGGTGGTCCCTGGATCACAATTAGTTGAAGACATTAGGCTTTACGTACCTGACAAACATGAGCTAAAACTTTGTAAGAGAAATTTTAGGTAAGAAGTAAGAAAACGAAATGTTCTTACATTCTAACAAATAACTATTGTGGAGAAAGTTGACTAGGAGAGCTCAGACTGCCCACTAACCCCTTCTGCTCTTCTTCTTTTCAGCTTTCTCCCGCTATCGTAGGAGGACTACATAACATAGCCCGAACTATAGAGTCCCGATCCTACACAGAAGGCCTCAACATCCACACCCACATAGTCAGTAACAGTAACTTCAGCGAGACGTCGGCGTTTATGCCTGTACTCAAGGTGGTGCTAACTCAAGCCAACAAACTTGGGGTCTGACCAAGCAGAGACATCCCACCTCCTCTGGGTGTTCGACTGATGGACGGTGGAGAGTAGCTGGTCAGGAGTCCAGCTGAGTACCAGTGTTAAAATTTCACAGGAAGCTCCATTTGATTCAGAAATGATGAAGAATTCTCAGACATATGAAAACACTGTCAAATTCTTCTTTGTGCCATTTGTGTTTTCTGACGATATTCAAAAACAAGCCATGATGTCAGCCGCACTCGGTGGTGAAAGTCAGTTCTGAGCCCAGTGAAAGCAGGTGCACATGGCAAGGGGCTACAGAATAGAGTCCCACCTCAGTCAACAAGTCACACTAAATATTTGTTTTTAATTCAACCTTGGAGTCATATGGATTAATGAGTAGTATCTTTAGGAATATGCGACAACCCTATTGAAGTATAATTTAAAAAATGACAAAATGTCAGGAATGCTCAGTTTCAGCACATCAGGTATAAATGAGGACAAGACCAACTTATAGACGATGGACTGAACAAAATGTAAACAGGAGATTCAGGAATTTAAAGGGCATTTCTGTCTATTTGTGTTCAGATAATCCAAATAAGTGCAGTTGACATAAAGAATTAAGCTTCTTTTAATGAGTTTGGTATTGATAGAGGACTGCTGTTATTACAGTGCAGCAGGTTTTTAGCTCACAATAGCACAATCATGCAATCATTTAGGAAATGTTGGTGCAATATCTGCACTACACCCATTTATGATCCATATATACATAGATTTTTGTTTTAAAAGGGCAAAACTGCTTTATTCTTACCTATATCATTGCTTGCATATATTTTGCACTAGACCTGCAATGTAGACAGTTGAGAGAAGTGTGTCCTGAAATCATTTTAACATGCATTACCTTATCAGCAGGCTCACGTTGGCTGTTCGACTTTAAAACAAGTATTTGAAGCCAATTTGATGCTCGCTGTCCCAGTTTTTGTTTTGTAATGCACCTAATATGTCATTGGCTAAAACTCAAACCCTCTCTGCTTCTGCTGACCTACTTCCACCACTGATGTCACTACATATAACACATTGGACCAAGATGTCAGTGCAAAGCAACGCTATCCTGTTTGTTGAGGACGTGTAATGTTTTATTTGTATTCATTTTGTTTGTAGTGTAATCATGAGGCTCAGCAAAGTGCAATGGATTTTTTAAAGAGAGACTGCTTTTATTGTGGAATTTTGAGGTATGCATGCTTAAACACAGTGCTCAGTCGTTAATGAGAGTCGAGGTAATTGTTTGCTAATTATTCAGACCTCAGAAGAAAACAGGAAGGAGACTTGTACTTGGTTTTCATTTCAGCTGCGTCCTAGTGGTCAACTCAGTTTCTGTTGTTTTAGATTAACAACATGCAATATTTTCAATAAATTGTATTTATTTACGATATGATGGTGCATCCTTTTGATTGCTCCTTATTCTACTGTTGCACATCTCTAAGTAGAGTCGGTGTGAGTTGGTGCCGCAGATGGCTGCCTTGGTTCTGATTCACATGAGGTCCGATGCACCCAACTGCTTCGGACGTCACTCAAGTGATTCAAACGTCACTAGTCACGTGACCAAAACACGCCTCGGCACAGTGCTTCGATACTTTGTGCTTCATGAGCTACCGCGCACGTGTCGGAGCCTCGGGTGTCAGGACCATCACTAGTGAGCAGTACTTGAGGTGAGACTTTCATGCACTGATGCCTTAATCTAAAATAATTTACTTTATATGTAACATATGAAAAGGAACTAGTAACTAAAGCACAATATTTCTATCTGAAATGTAGTGGAGGTAGAAAGCAGCATAAAAAGGAAATACACAAGCACCTTTAAATCATACTTAAGTATATTATCAAATACATGTACTTATAACTTGTCACCACTTCATTTATTTGAGTACGACTATATTACAAGCCCAGCATTCAGGTCCGGTCTAAGTAGAAGGTACCAAAACATGGAAATAACCAAATAAAATACCTCAGTATTTTCCTACTGCACCAAGCTCACTGTACATAGTAAAAACAGAATTAATTTAAAGAATCAAGACCACCTTTATTTGCCTTGTACATAGCATAAATCAATTCAGTAGCATTGGAAACCTCTACCAAGCCATTATTTACACACATTTCATCAATTGCTACAGTCAAGGAGGAAAAACTGTAGGCAGCAGGTTATGTTGTGGGCATTTCATAAGGATGAGATGCTTTAGGATGACCGATTCTCTTACGTTTTCAGGTAACATTCATAATATTTAGCTAGAAAAGTGGGAAAAAAAACATAATGCAAACAATGAACAAGATTTTTAAATGGCCACATATTGAAACGGGGAAGGGAAAGCAGCCTCTACAAAGACTCGATGCATTCTTCTAACCAAAAACTACCGCTCCATGCTGGCTGGAAACTTTTAAGACAGGTCTAATCCTCTGTATTTACATGTGTGCACTGAAGTATCACAGCACTCCCAACAAAGTTCAGAGAGGAAGATATAAAAAAGTTCATGTCACTGTTTCTGAAACCAAACCTGCATAAGAAACAATTCTATTTTTACTATACACTATAATTTAAGCATTATAAAGGAAAATAAACATAATGTATGAATGAACCAACTGGTAATCATTTTAGTGTTTGTGGATTATTGCATAGTAAACTACATTGAGACTGGGGGAAGTGTACATGCATCTGCTGTGTGAAGCACAGCCGCAAACAACTGGGACCGTACAAAAGCGATGAGTGTCAACTTCAGACTGACTTCAGAGGGGTTTAAGCGATTCAACATTCATCTGGGGAAATGTGAGGGAGGAAGCAAAACTATGATACATACAAGCTGTTTCATGTGATAAGTCACATGAAACAGCGTCTCACAAAGCACAGCCTATGCAGTATAAACATTCAGACGAGAGAGGTCAGGCAAACTGTTCAAAGTGCTTTATGGCTAGTGAGATAAGGGACGCAGCAAAATCCAATTGGAAAGGCTTGTATTTTCAGACAGTGGCAGTTGTGACTTTAAACACAGGTCTCTACTTCTTTATATACAATGGAAGGTTTTAGATCCCTTGAAGAATTTAGAGGAACATGGCACTAGCTCATTCTTAGTCCCTACTACAGAACAACAGCGTAGCCTCATGCCTTTGTCCTTCAACACATTCATTTATCATACGCTGCACAGCACACTTGGCAATGAGACTAAGTAAATGAAGTTGCTGAGCAGCAGGGTTTTAAGGAGAAGATGAGTATAATCAACTTACAGCAAAAATAGAAAACAAGATGGAATTTAGAACCATAAAAATGTGAGAGTTGGGGTGGAAAATTTAATGTTGTGTCAAATGTGCCAGTGTTATATGGTCTTTATCCATCTCACTGTCGATATAGGGCAATTATGAGCCATGCTAGGCACTTAGGATTCTTTCATATTGACGTGTGTGGCTTATTAGAGGTGTAAACAGTAGCAAACTGCAACCCAGCTCTGTCTACGTAGGTTACTGAATAAAAGAACTAGCCAGCGCTGTTTCATTGGCTTCAAGGCTGACTTCATTTCTTGCCATAAAACCCTCCTATTATGATACAGTAACTTTGCTTTCGCACTATTCTCCCCTGCAGGTGACTTGGAAATAGGAATCTAAGAGCATGGAAATGCCTTGTTACCATAAACCCCAGTGAGAAACAATAGTGTTCTCTAATAAAAAACTAATGAAGATATGTCTGTACTATGTAAGCTGTGACTGAATACTGGGGATTTTTCCATATGACTAAAACCATTTTGTCTAATATGTAAGTCTGTGTTTTGTTTAATTAATTCTACAGTATAATCCCTGATAGCATTAGTCTTGGTGCCTTAAACCTATCAAGACCCTTCCTTCTTCCTGGCCTTATTAAAAACATTTCCCCAAATGGAAATATAGTATACTGCATACATACAGCCAGGGCGGGGTGGGTATCTGTGCAAAAACTAGAAGATCAATAAAATAAGGATTACACCACTTTTTTTTATCTATCCTTGGTTGTCAGTTTTTCAATCAGATCCTGTAGTGGAACCAGCTCTTTCCTGTCAATGAGGTTGAACTCCTGAAAAAGACGAAGAAGGGGGGAGAAAACACCTCAATCTTCCACTGTACGCTACATTTGTATGGCATAACCGTGAATACCGCCGATGTTTTACCTGAACAAAAAAGATGAAGTGTTTGAATGACGTGTTGAGGTGGGCCTCCTCTTGCAGCTGCATGACAGAGTCAAAGTGCTGGTGGTAGATGTGGGCGTAGACCCTGAACAGGCGCTTCAGAATGGTTTTCGCCACGGACATAAAGTTTCGCTTAAAGGGGACGCCTTGGAAACGAGAGGGAAAGAAAAAAAAAAACCTGTTCAGATGGACAAATATACAACTGAAGATGTAGATAATAGCACCTAAGTATATCCCCGCCAAAACATTTAAGGATGCACTAACCACATTGTGAGATCTGTTTAGTTTGCAACTCAGAGTGTGTGGACACATTACTATAAGCACAGAATCAGATTTGAGAGCATAATCCCAGCCCTGCATGTGCTTGTTTCTGAGTCTGTGTTCTCAGATTTTTCATGACGGATTTTGTGTGAAACCCTGTCAATGCCAAAAGTTTTGAAAGTGCACAAAACATGTTCAGAGTTATTCAGCTTGCAAATCAGGCAACAGGTAAAAGCAAAATCACAGGATGTCCATCCTCCCTCGCCCTCAGATCTGATTTTGATTTGCAAGCCTAATAGCGCCGTGTGCTCTTTCAAACGTTTTGCCGCCAAAAACCCAGTGAAGAAATCTGAGAATGCAGACTCAGAAATGAGCACACATGACCGGGGATTATGCCCTCAAATCTGATTCTGCTCTTAGAAGTCTGTACCTGCACTCGCAAATGCTGAGTTGCAAACTGGGTTATTAAGTGCTCGAAATGTGGTTTGTGCACCCTTAAACATTCTGGCAGAGATTTACTTCCATATAATAACAGGTTGAGCAAATGACTTGTTGGAAATGCTTTGGTAAAGAATCCTCAATCCAGAGTTTGAGAATGCCCAAATGTTCTTGATTTGTTACAAACTGTGCTTGGTTTCTTTAGGCATGCACTGGGAGGACTGACAGATGCATACATGGTGAAAGGTTCACTCTGTCACTCAAGTTGCACATTACTTTTTTAATCTCTCTATTGCTGCTGGTCAGTTCAACATGCTCTGCACAATCGAAGCAGATGCGGCTACATTACAAAGCTTTATGTGTCAAGTGTTCAGTTGCACTTTGGAAATGTTAACGCTGTTACGACATTACCACTCTCTGCACCTCAGATGTGTTGTGCAGTTGTCCTATGATTCAGTGAACAGCTGTGGAGTAGAGAAGCAGCTGGGAGTCAGCTTCATTCTACAGTGTACACAGAGCTACTAACTTCAATTATTCAATGAAGCTGATAACTGACAGAACTGGGAGTTCTTCATTAAGGCTCCAGGCTAGACAGTACAAGCCTCGGGTACTTTAGGGGTGGAGAACTGCGTTGGTAGTTATGTAAATTTTCTGTTTAATGGGCATGTGCATTGTTAAGCAGAGAAACCTGGAAGTTACTTGATAGTGAAATAAGCAATATTTATATCCACTACTTTGCTGAAAACCTGTTGACATTTCCATCCACTTACATGATGCTTCTTCCCCTGCCACTGTTAAAGGTATGTGTGATCCTTTGTTTTTGCATTTCAAACAAAACTACATGACAAAAATTAAAGCTCTAAGTTTAAACGAGACTTCAATGACATGCAAATGACAAACTCACAAGACTGGTTATACTGCTGCTAAGAGATACATGTATAATTTATTTGTTTTAATATCCGTTCGTTTTGATGGCATTACGTTTCACAGGGTTGGAGAAAACTTTGGTTTACTTGTTAGTAGCAGCAGGACTTTGGCAGGCTGCAGAGCGCTGCTTTATTAGACCGATGTCGAGTAAAACCGTCAGCACACACCTAATCACTAGACATTCAGCAGGTCTATGAAGTTTGCTCTTCTTTAGCGCTGTGCACTAATAGAAACCAGACAATAAAACATAAAAACCACACACAGGAAAGATGGCTTAGACAGGACTGAGAAAGCCGACACAAAACGCACCGATCTTCGAAGGGAAAAGTGTCTCGTCATCCAGCTGGTCTTGCACCCAGGTCATGAGGTAATCAATGTACTTGGGAGCTGAGCATTTGATGGGCTTCTTGATGTTGGTGCCGTCAGCCCAGTGGTACTCATACCTACAGGAAACACAAGATGACAAACACTGCTATGAAACCACTTAAGGATTCCATCCATGTTCACACTCGTTCACCATTCAACCTTCTGGTTGGGAGATGACTGCTCTACCCACTGAACCACTGTGTAACGAAGTTGTATTTCTGATTTCATTTTCACTGCCCCATTTGATAAAGTCATTTGAATTCAATTTTAATTGTCATAATTGGTTTGTGGATCTGTCTGATTAAGAAGGCTAACTGATCTAAGTTATCCTGACCCCATGCCACACTCGAGGGCTGGTTTGAACTCGGGCAGACCTAGAATGGTCCACTTACTTCGGCCCAGCAGACATGACTGGGCAGCTTTCCTCTGTGCAGAAGTCTGTGATCGTGCCATACAGCATGTTGATCTGGTTGAAGAAATCCACAGCTGGAAAAATGTAAAAAGAATACAAATAAAGTGCAAAATGAGACCAAATACCCTGTGTGCCAGCACAAACAGCCAAACAGTCCTTTGCCACTCGCCATTCCACTGCCCAGTCTACACTGTAGACCAGTGCACACTCCAGTTATCTGGCACAAACTGTTATCGCTCATTCCCAGGGGCACGCAGCCAACTTTGGCTTCCCATCAGTTGGACAGAACCATTTAAACGGCTGGCAGTGTTAGTGCTCTATTTGTTAATCTCATACATATTGAACAGCTGATGTGACATGTGTTTTGTGCAAGGAGGGCCTTGCTGTTTAAGAGACACCATCTCACTTTCAGTGTTTGATTACTGTTTATCCAGCCCCCTCTGAAGACATTTTAGTAAAAATCTTTAGTATTCCTCACCAGGTGAAGGTTTGACAATAATAAAAATAAAAAGACATAAAACCTAATTGGGCACTGTATATTTTAGGATTGTCTGTATGCTGCTGCCCAAGAGCTAAAAGCCCACACCAGTGTATACACCATTAAAGCTGCTGAACTTATTACAGCCACAGATGAGATGTGATGCTCATTTCCAGAGAGAAAGCTCTAATTAGAAGAATGTGTCTAAATAACTTTTCAAATTAAACTGTCCTGAAGATACGCAAGAAAAATTTAAGATGCACCATAAAATGACACAGCCACTGGAAGAAGGGATAAAACAAAAATAAATCAGGTCTGTCGCTGCTGCCACGCTCTCAACTGAGTCAGCATGTTGACTGACAGGTGCCCAAATTATCGTCACCCTGACAGATTTTCCATGGGCCCATACTGACATAGTGCTGTATGTAAAGAGACAGAAAGGGTCAAATTCAGAATACAGTCAAAATAGTGAAAACTACTGGTGGCCTTGTGGTTAAGTAGCATACAAAATAACTGCTGCATGCAGCCCTCTCTCTCCCTTTGCTGTCACTACCCATAACCCCACCTGTGAACAGAGATCACGTGGACAGAGATGGGAGAAGTGATTGATCACAGCACTTTTACTCTAACTTCCCTTTATTGTGCAAGTTCTGATACAGCTGACGTAGCACTGACACCGACTTCCATCCACTGTTTCTGAAACTGACAAATAAAAGCATCGCAATGCAACGAATCCAAGACAGTTGTGTGGTTCAGTTAATAAAGAGAGAAAATGTGTGAACTCATTTGAGTAAATGCTAGATTTTCTGTTAATATTGTGTAAAAACAGTGGATAAATACAGTCACACTGCTCTATTTTTCATGTTTTTGTGTGCTATACAGGGATTCCATCATGCCTCAGAACTTTTTAAAAAGTTATGCACTCAACTGCCATTAACTTCAAGAGAATCAAATGACAACAAAACCCTCGTGTGTTAATGATTACACCCCCTTATTTCGTGATCTGTTACACCAGCTCAAAAAAGGTCAAATTAAAATTCAAATCCTATTCACTTTATTTTAATGCAGTGCAAGGTCTTTAAATAACTACTCAACTAGTGAACATCTCAACCCCAAAATCCACTATGACATGAGAGGAAATGAAGCTTCTACTGACCAGCTACTTGTCTCAATTTAGAGTAAAGTAAACAGGGCTCTCACAGACAATAGGTCTGTTGAACATTCAGAGTGGTTTTTCCAGTGTCACTGTTCCTGGGCTTTAGAAACAATGCCAACATCTCACACCCTGACAGTTCACCACCAATTGATTCTTGATGTGGATCAGGTGAGATTTCAGGGACAAGGCTACTGAGCAAGCATGTAAATATGAAACGTATGCAATGACTGACAGTCTTAACAAAAAAAGGTATGTGAACATAATGTCATTCATCCAGCCATTTAAACCAAAAAGGGTGTACCGATGTAAAAGATAAACTTGGCTCTTACTGTTGACTGCGACCCATTCATTTAAGTCTTCACCCTCAGGCAACATGACCGCCATCCGTAAGTTTCCACTTCCCAGCGTAGCCTCTGCATGTTTCAACAGCTCGTACTGATGAGAACCCTCTGGGATGTTCTTCTTGGGCTTGAACGTCTTGGATGAACGGTTTCCACTGAGTCACATTTCAGAGAGGAAGACAAATGGTGTGATAACTCATGAAGCAGTCAGATATGATGACTAATTATGAGCTTAGAGGGACACTGGGCAAGATCTTTAATAGATTCAGAGAGGGGGGGGGACCAGAACTGTATCTCTCTGTGTGTATACTACATAATGAGGCCATTTGGAGAAGTACACTAACCTTTTCAATCTCTCAGTGTCCCAAGAATTACAACATGGTAGGTTACACACTAAACAGTTTTTCCATTATAGAGAAGATGTACTAAAATCTACATATTCTTACATAATCTGATTTATATTTATTTTAATGGTGCAAAAGAAACTTGGTTGAATCAAACGCACAGGGCAGCGTTGTCCATGACCTCTGCTTTAAACAGTATTTTTCAGTCTACACCATTAGGAATCAAAGGTTGCTAATCACAAGTCTCTAGACACCAATGTCTGATGATATCAATAACACAGTCGTATTACTTTGGTAAAACACTGGGTGAGCGATTAATTGCTTAGTATTGTCACATCGAACCCAGATTTGCTTGTAGTAACAAAGTGTTCGCACCAGCAAATATCCAGGCCAGACTAAGAACTCGTCTCATTTAAAATAGCGCTGACATCGCTACTAGTCCAATTGAAATGTCGAAGCCATCCACAACACCGGGCGTTCTTCTCTTATATTTAATCTGCTATCGATGCCGATTTTAATTCTCAGGAAAATCTAACGACAGCATCGTGAATCACATCAGACATTGGGAAGTATATCCAGGAAGTAGTCTAAGCCCGTACTATGCTATCGCTAGCTAACAGCTACATAAAAATTCAAATACAGGGGTAATTAAATGATAGGGTAAAATAGTCATCCGTCACACAGATTTAACGTTAACTCACAAAAGAAAGCTCATGTTTCCTCGGACTGTAGAAAATAACTCCTGGCAAACGGGTAACAAGAAGACTGTAACTGGGCAGACCAAAGGGACTGATTGTCAAATCTCTCAAGCCTCTAACGTCCTTGAGTCTTCTCGGCCTTCCTTAGGTGGTTCCTTGTGAAAAATTCCGAAATCAATACACATTAATATGAAAACAAATGCTTATTTCTATAAACTGAAGGCTTTCCCGACTGCTCCTCTGTACGTTGTGATTTAGCAGCACACACTAAACCTAATGCTAACTTCTTCATCTGATGCTCACGGCAGGTCAGAACACATTTGTGCTGTGTGCTGCCATCTAGAGGAATGAAATGGTTAACACAATAATTTGACATTGAGATAAGAGACATACAGTGCCTTGCGAAAGTATTCGGCCCCCTTGAACTTTGCGACCTTTTGCCACATTTCAGGCTTCAAACATAAAGATATAAAACGGTAATTTTTGTGAAGAATCAACAACAAGTGGGACACAATCATGAAGTGGAACGAAATTTATTGGATATTTCAAACTTTTTTAACAAATAAAAAACTGAAAAATTGGGCGTGCAAAATTATTCAGCCCCTTTACTTTCAGTGCAGCAAACTCTCTCCAGAAGTTCAGTGAGGATCTCTGAATGATCCAATGTTGACCTAAATGACTAATGATGATAAATAGAATCCACCTGTGTGTAATCAAGTCTCCATATAAATGCACCTGCACTGTGATAGTCTCAGAGGTCCGTTTAAAGCGCAGAGAGCATCATGAAGAACAAGGAACACACCAGGCAGGTCCGAGATACTGTTGTGGAGAAGTTTAACGCCGGATTTGGATACAAAAAGATTTCCCAAGCTTTAAACATCCCAAGGAGCACTGTGCAAGCAATAATATTGAAATGGAAGGAGTATCAGACCACTGCAAATCTACCAAGACCTGACCGTCCCTCTAAACTTTCAGCTCATACAAGGAGAAGACTGATCAGAGAGGCAGCCAAGAGGCCCATGATCACTCTGGATGAAATGCAGAGATCTACAGCTGAGGTGGGAGACTCTGTCCATAGGACAACAATCAGTCGTATACTGCACAAATCTGGCCTTTATGGAAGAGTGGCAAGAAGAAAGCCATTTCTTAAAGATATCCATAAAAAGTGTCATTTAAAGTTTGCCACAAGCCACCTGGGAGACACACCAAACATGTGGAAGAAGGTGCTCTGGTCAGATGAAACCAAAATCGAACTTTTTGGCAACAATGCAAAACGTTATGTTTGGCGTAAAAGCAACACAGCTCATCACCCTGAACACACCATCCCCACTGTCAAACATGGTGGTGGCAGCATCATGGTTTGGGCCTGCTTTTCTTCAGCAGGGACAGGGAAGATGGTTAAAATTGATGGGAAGATGGATGGAGCCAAATACAGGACCATTCTGGAAGGAAACCTGATGGAGTCTGCAAAAGACCTGAGACTGGGACGGAGATTTGTCTTCCAACAAGACAATGATCCAAAACATAAAGCAAAATCTACAATGGAATGGTTCACAAATAAACATATCCAGGTGTTAGAATGGCCAAGTCAAAGTCCAGACCTGAATCCAATCGAGAATCTGTGGAAAGAACTGAAAACTGCTGTTCACAAACGCTCTCCATCCAACCTCACTGAGCTCGAGCTGTTTTGCAAGGAGGAATGGGCAAAAATTTCAGTCTCTCGATGTGCAAAACTGATAGACATACCCCAAGCGACTTACAGCTGTAATCGCAGCAAAAGGTGGCGCTACAAAGTATTAACTTAAGGGGGCTGAATAATTTTGCACGCCCAATTTTTCAGTTTTTTATTTGTTAAAAAAGTTTGAAATATCCAATAAATTTCATTCCACTTCATGATTGTGTCCCACTTGTTGTTGATTCTTCACAAAAAATTACAGTTTTATATCTTTATGTTTGAAGCCTGAAATGTGGCAAAAGGTCGCAAAGTTCAAGGGGGCCGAATACTTTTGCAAGGCACTGTAGGTAACTTCTAACATCTTTATAAGCCTGATAATCAGACTCAAGTGCCATTTCATTTGACTTCCTTTCTTTCCAGTAGTGGATGGGTGCGCATAATGCTTGTGACCATAATTAACTTACACATTTTCAGTGTTGCCAACTTTCTCACTAAAGCTGGTGACTTTCCAAATCCTCTTGGCGAGATTTTTTTGTCAAAAGCGACTAACGACAAATCTGGCGCCTTTTCTCCAGTGTTGCCAACTTGGCGACTTTCTCGCTAAATCTGGTGACTTTCCAAATCCTCTTGGCGAGATTTTTTTGTCAAAAGCGACTAACGACAAATCTGGCGACTCTTTTCTGGTGTTATTGGAGACTTTTTTGATGTTTTGGAGACTCTGACATGAAAGCACGTATTGCTCTACAGTTACTGTCCTCAATGAGCAAAAATGTTTCACAAATTCCCAGCAGTGGCCAGATACATAATGAGTGAGCCAAGTTTTAGGTCCCTTCAAAAACAGGAAAAAAGTGCTCTAATAAAAGTAACACTTAAAAATTGACCTCAAATATTGATCATTGTAAATACATGCATGATTCATGGCATGCATGGACTTGTTGTGGCACAAAATAGGTTATTTGCTAAATATACATATCCCAGTGATGACTATACATGTACAAATAGTTGGGTACAGACAAGCCTAACTCTCAAAAAGCCTGTGATTTTCAACAAAACTGTAGATCAAGAATAAATTCAGTTACATATGGACCAATTACATATGGATATATGAAATTAAAGTCCATTCACAAATGTCAATAAAAAGAAGGCATCACAGGAAATTCAGAAACAATTCTTTTATCTTGTCACATTGAAGTCACTTATGCTTATGGATGATGATCTACTACTTGTCAGCATCCAGCAGTGTCAGAAATTAACTTTTCATTTCCAGGCAACAAGTGAAAGACAACTAATGACTGAGTGCCTGTCGAAACTAGAGCCTTGGAGGAAAAAGTGTTAGTCTACAAAGTCCAATCTGCATCAGTGGGTTTTTCTGATGGTGAAGTTGTGTTAGCTTCTCTGAGTTTATCACATTTTGTCTTGAATGTCATCATGATATTAATCTCACGAGAACTGAGCTCATATTCTGAAGAATTCACGGGTGATGAGATATATTCATTTTCCAGATCAGGACTATGTATCCAATTCCGAAGGTCACAGCACCAAGTTGTAATACCCCAGTTCTTTATTGGACAGATCTGAATAACGAAGGAGTCTGTCTTTCTTCATTTTAGTGCTGATTTATTTTAAACCAGAAGCAAAATTACAAAACACAACTTGGGTGGCTCCCCCTTCCAGGCATCCCCATGCAGGCTGCTGGAAGAAAGGAGTTTCTGGCCACACAAAGCCTAATACATTTATACGTTTTGGGCTAACCCCTTACACAGATGAAGTCAGTCCACAGACTCCATCTCTTATCTAGAGCTCCACAGGCTCGGAGCAGCTGGATTTTACCTAGTCATAACAAAATGAGGAAGCTCAATGTGTGTATATGTTGTCACGTGGTGTGTAGCTAAGCATTCATTCAGACATAATATTCTAACACAAGGTTAATACAGGAAAGAATTGGTGTCATAAGTAACTGTAGCTCACATTTCAGAATCAACACTCTGTCTGCTAACCTTGAAACAAAACAGACTAGAGCAGACTTCAAATATTACTAAACTGCATTACTAATACATTTGATTCAACACATTAATGTCTAATATTTATCTGACTGATTTACTAATATCTAACACGTAATTACCGTGTACACTGCAAAAGACCACAAAGTAAAGTGGCACAGTATCTGAGGCAGAAACGCAGCAGTGAAAAAGAAGTGGCCCTAGCAATGTGTCTTCTATCAACATCAAAGAAACATCACGAAACATTTGAGCAACTTCATAAAGAAGTTATGGCCAAGAATAAAAGAAGTGTTCAAATTGCTGCCTCAGCTCTCCTTCCATACAAAGGACAGTTATCAGAAAGGTGCTCAGACATTCTTACCACAATGGTAAATGACAAGGCGTCCCTTGAAGTAAGACATGACCCTCTCATATGTGAATTTGGAAATAGACTGCTGGAGAAACCCACAAGCAGTTGATCAAGGGATACTTATGTTGGCTGAAAGATGAGAGAGTTGGGTAGATTTGTACTTGCTGCCAAGTTCCTTGACCACAAAGTGAAGGCGCTACAAGATGTTTTGGCGCCATCTAAATTTTCTTTAGCTGTGGAAGCAGCAAAAAAAGTCAGTGGTTTCACCAGCTCCAAGTACAGGTATAACACACCATCTCTTGCTTTGAAGTAGGGACACTTGATAATGGCAGTATGTGACATTGTGATTGGGCATCATACGAAAGCTGAGGATGATGCAGCCGCATGCAGAGTAAAGAGCTTCTTGGAGTTAGTGGCAGCAGTGTGGAACCTCTTTGTGTCACACCATGCACGATTAAACTTAGATGACAGACTGAACAAAAAAAGAAATGATCCCACTAACAGAAGATGTTATGAAGCTTCATCCAGTATTGAAGTCAACAGCAGAGGAGGCAAAAGAGAAACTCATGGAAGGGCCTAACCCTAAAGCATACAAGACTCTCAGTGAGTGCCTTCTCTCACAAATTGTACTTTTCTGTTATGGTTTAGTCCTGAGGACTAGCGGGCAGGAGAGAGAAAGGCAGAAGAGAAGCAGGTCGCGCCGAGCGGATCTGACACTTTTCAACCAAAGATGGCAAGGTGAGGCAGCAAAATTGTCTCTGCTGACCTATAAGAACAAAACCAGAGAAGAACCAAATGAGGACATTATGCAGTTCCTCTCAAAACTGGAACAATATTTGAGCCACGAGTTTACCAGGTTGGTGATAAGAGGCCATAAAGTACCTGCTGCTAGTGCTGCTTACCAGCGAGATGACTAAATCATTTGATTTCCTCATTGAGCAAAGGAGTGAGGACAATGGAATTTTAAACAGTTATGAGTACATCTTTGCAAGATGACATTCAGATTCTCATCTCCAAGGTTCAGACTGTTTGAGGAAGTATGCAACTGCAAGTGAGGCAAGGAAGCCCAAAACACTCACGTCAACCTACCTGAGGGAACATGTGGCTACACTTAGTCCGATAATGAACCTGAAAGAAAATGAGTTGGATCAACTTGCCAAATTTATGGGACATGATATCCATGTTCATCGTGAATACTACCACCTAACCATAAACACACTTCAGCTTGCAAAAATGAACAAGCTGCTCATGGCAATCGAACATGGAACTGAGGTCTATAAAGGCAAATCTCTTGATGAGGTTGATTTAGGTTTAGAAAGTGAGTATAAAAT